CGGCCGCGTTGGGCGAGACTTTACCTCTTTCACGATCGCCATAAAGCTCATTTTTATCATCGAAGTGGAAAACGGCAAAGGGGCACAGAAATCTTAGGAGAAATATCTCTAACAACTGTTTTTCTTTCGGTTTTCCCAGTGGTTCTCAGGACTTTGAAGCAGCCGCACATTTGAGTGCAGGCAAACCTTCGTTCCCTCGCCTTTCGCCTTCCTCGTTTCCGAGGCGATGCCCAAAGTGAAGAGGAGCAGGAAGCCTCCCCCGGACGGCTGGGAGCTGATTGAGCCAACGCTGGATGAGCTGGATCAGAAGATGAGAGAAGGTAAGCGGCAGAGCTGGGTGTCTCAGGGACGCATCCCCAAAACAAGCTAATCCTTAACTGCTTCAGGAAGCATAGCTTTCCCTGCAAATATAGATTGACCTTTTTTATCTCTTTACCTCGCAGTGATACTGCAGACTTGAGACTGGGCTAGTACCGGTCACTTTCCTCTGGGTGCACCCCGCTTACAGAGCACAGAGTTTGGGTACAGTTCAGGGCACTCCACGGCTGAAGCTCGCTCTTGTGCGTGGAGAGACTGGCAGTTCTTGTCCGTGCTGTTGCTCTGGTCTGACGAGGCAGGGCAGCCATGAAGTCACCTGCTGTCCTGGCGCAGGTCACGTCATCCCCACTGCCTTTCTTTTTCTATTTTCATTTCCTAAACGAGCTGTTCCAGGTCAGGTCCCTTTCCTTTGAATCTTCTCCCATTAAGCTCGGTCTTATCTCTGTAATGTATGAAAGTTATGAACGTTCTTGGAACGGTTTATTGCAAAGTGACTAAGGAAATAAGTTGGCCACCTGAAACGGTCAGCTGAAACCTGGTGTTTGTGTTCCCTCCCAGCGGAGACTGAGCCTCACGAAGGGAAGAGGAAAGTGGAATCCCTTTGGCCTATCTTCAGAATCCATCACCAGAAAACACGTTACATCTTTGATCTCTTCTATAAACGAAAAGCTATCAGCAGAGGTGAGGAACGCAAATGCTTTACCCTGGGCAGGGCAAAACAGAAGGGAGTAAGATGTCCGCCTGCGGATGTGCCTGAATTGGGGTGTTGGTGGGAAGGATGAGGTTTCTGGGGAGGGAAGACGGAGGGAATTCTGGCAGCTGCCTGGCTTTAACTGCTGGTCAGTACAGCTAGAGTAACTCCTGATAGCGAGACTTCTAACACTTCCTGGGAGCTACTTGTGATGGTGTCTGCTCCTCCTCAGAGCTCTACGAATACTGCATCAAGGAAGGATACGCTGACAAAAACCTGATTGCGAAGTGGAAGAAGCAGGGTTACGAGAACCTCTGCTGCCTGCGGTGTATCCAGACGCGGGACACCAACTTTGGAACCAACTGCATCTGCAGGGTCCCCAAAAGCAAGCTGGAAGTGGTAAGGGTTTTCAGCTTGTTCCTCTATTTGCCTGGACCCTTGCAGTACTCAGTCTAACTCCTGTCAGGTCAGGGACAGCAGAGGAGGTGCTGTTATTTTGGGTAATTTCCTCTGGTTCTAACATTTTCTCTTTGCTGGTAGAGTTGGTATCTAGTTGGCTCTAAAGTTACTGTCAGCTTTGGCGTGCAGTCATGTAAACTCATTAAAATATGGGAAACAACAGAAAACTAGACAGTAGAAACCCCTCCCACACAGACCCGTTCTTGAGGCCCAAGCCTGTGGGTCTGTGCTCACCGCAGCTTGGCTGAAATACCCTCGTGTTTCTTTTCCAGGGGAGAATCATTGAATGCACTCACTGCGGATGCAGAGGCTGTTCTGGGTGAAGCCTTTAGCCATAAGACTACTTTTTGAACTCTGAGGGATATCATCCTACACAATGGACTATTGCTGCAGTTATAGCCACCTTCTGTGTGATTGGGTATTTCTGTATAGCAATTAAACCAGCAGCATACTCATCTGGATCATATATACAATGGTGGTTGTTTTGGAGTAGGTTGTTGTGTAGCCATTTATTTTAAAATAAAGTCTGCCTTCTTGAGAGAGTGGTGTGATCTTCTGGCAAAACATTTCTCTGCCCCTCTTCTGTTGGATGTGTTTTGGTTGGTTTGTTTTAAGGTTGCTCTGCATACTGTGAGGTGTTCTAAATGTGGGTTGTTTTTTAACCAGCTTTTTCCCTCTTTCTCAAATAACGGAATTTAAAATGCGGTGTGGAAAGGAAATAATACAGTTCTCAAAACTCCAGTTGTGATTTAAGCTCTTCCCTGATCTCATGTAGAAGGAAGCTAAATTTCACTGGCACTCTCTGCTCAGGTCTATAACCTGAAATTAGCACGTAGATCCGCTCAGGAATGCAGGCACCCTAGGGATTACCAGTTCATGTGTTAAGCGCCCAGATACACACACAACACAGGAAAGAGACAAAAGTAGCACTGAGCTAAACCACTCTTAAATCTGATTTTGCTTCTCCCTTGTTTAGCACAGGGTTTGTTAAACTACAGCCTATCTAATCCTCTGCAGTTTAAGGAAATTCCCTGAAAATGTATTTCCTTCTTCCCAAAACAAAGGACAAGTATTTTATTACGTAGTTATCGCAAGAAATACGAAGTTCATGGAAATACGAGCAAGGGAGCAAGTTCCAACTTCTTCCAGCACAAGGAAGATGCAGGACTTCAGCGTCCTGCTCACTGCTACTTCTGCCCCGGCTGCTCCGGCACAGCCTCTTCCTTATCGTCACCTGCCGCACGTTTCGCTGTTCTGTATTTTTCCCAGGGGTGAGGGGTCTCCTCTCCTGCCATTACTTTTAACCACCGATAGTAGTAGCCGCGGAAACCATCTATTTTCTCCAGGTATGGGTTCTTTGACTTATACTGCAAACAGAAATCCAACAAAACAAGTTTCTATTAGAAGACAGCTCACTTTGATACCAGCACGTAATAGCTACAAGCTGCTACTAAAGAAAAGGCTATCAAGTTAACTGTCAGCCAGATCAGACAAAGCCAAAGGAAAAAGGCTTGGGCAGACATCTGCGTTTCCCCTGCTTGTTGGTGTCCTTCGTGATGCCTTCACACTCTGACCGGTCGTGGCTACTTACCCTGTCAAATTTTGGAGGGTACTGTGCTGCGAACTCCAGCTGGCGTATGATAACCTCATTGGGAGGCACCTGGTTATTCCTCATGTCTCGCAGGATCTCTGTGAGGTACCTGTAATCCAGCTGCCGCACCGCAGCGGCAATGAGGGTGCTGTAGATATGCTTGTTGGGAGTTATTCCAGACCTCTGGAAACAAGAAAGGCTACAGTTAAACTCATTTATCTGCCGACTAGCGCAGGGCTTGTAGAAGGAAGAGGCACACAGGCACTTCTTACGCAAGGGGCAAGGCTCTCGCTCTGGAACCCGTGTAGCGGCGTCTACAGTGCTGGCACTCCCCTTCCCAGGAGCCCTCTCCTACCCCAGTGCAGGTACAGGACAGACCACCTGAGCTGGCACCCACTCTAGAGTTGTGTGGTTTTGGAGTGAGAACGCAACCACTCGCCACGGAAACCTCAGCAGCTCTTTTTAGAAGCATTAACACTTCAGTTTGCCTCCTCCTGCAGCTCGAACCCCAAGCAGCAGAGTTTATTACCTTCAAGTCTGAGAGTAACTGCAGTCCATCCTTCTCTCGGTGGCAAGCAATTGCCAAGTTACAAAACGTCTGGAGGTTAGGTGATAGTCCCCTCTTCACTAGAGCTGGCAGCACGCTCTGCAAGATACAAGTGTTGACATAAGTTTCCAAAAGGTCTCACTGTAGCTCTCCAGATAGAGAGCTGAAGGTGCTGGAACAGAACCCACAACTACTTAGAAATTAACCTGAGCATGGGTTCGGGGAAAACAGTGTGAGATTCCCAGTTTCTATTGCCGATAGAGAAACAGGTCTCACAGCGAAACACAGGTAACACGGGAGGCCTGAGACCAGGAGATGGTGACAGGGCTGGTTCTGAGTTTTTCCTCACCTTTGCTCCTTCTAGGTCTCCCTGTTTACTTTTCTTCCTTATTAAAGTGTTAAAGAAGGTCACATCTACTTTTACTTTATGCTCATCTAGCAGCGCCAGCAAAGAGGACTCCGAGGGGCTTTGGGGTTTCACCAGCTCAGCCAGTAACGTAAATGTTTTAATGCTGGGTTCTGCATTGTCCTCTTTCATTTTATTTAAGAAGCCCTCCACGTCCCCCATCAAAGCCAGTCTATCGGACGGTGTGGCCACTGTCCCCAGGGAAACCACGGCTGCATCGGGCATCCTGGAATCCAGCAAGTTGGGCAGGTTGCAGAAACGCAGCTTCTGGCTTAGGTGTGCTTGTTCCTGCTCCATCTCGTTCTGGCCTCTCCTCATCAACGCACCAGTCCTGCTGTGAGCTATGCTGGGGCTTTCGAGAGCAGCTGGTTCTGTTTCAGCCCTATTCGCGTCTTTATTTTGTTGCCAGATCAGTTCTTCAGGCTGCACCGAACTCTCATGAAATAATTGCTTTTCCATAGCTTCCACATCCAGCTGGACAGCAGCTGCACTCTCTGATCCCTTCTTCTTCTGATTTTTCACCTTTTCCTTCTGCCTCCCGGGTGCAAGCTTTAGCTGCGACGAGTTCTCATGGGTGAGCAGGAGGTCAGAAGCCACGACTGGATCGCCTATTCCACAGTCTCTCGCAGCACGCAGCATCAAATTGTAAGTGTGGCTATCGGCCTTTATTCCAAGTTTAGTCATTTGTTTCCAAACCTGAGAATGGGAAGGTGAACACCAGATGTACGTGATATTAAATAACAGGAGCATTTCTAGCAGATCGTATGCATATCTACCTGCCCACTGTTACGGTATCTGCTTGCAGAAAAGGAGCGAGTTTACAGCATGACGAGGTGAGATGCCACTGGACAGTGAAAGCCACCTTGAGCTCGTACAGTCCTGCAGGATCATCCAGGGCGGCTTACCAGTGTACGAGACCTCCTGACAGAGGCCTGGTTTACAGAACTGCTCCTAGGAGGAGCTGACCTCCTCCTGTTTCACCAGCTCTGAGCAATCTGCTGCCTTCCGCGCATTCAAGTGACGAGTTACAATATAGAAGCACTTTTTCCTCCCCACATAGTATATGAAGACAAACCTGTAAGGCATATCGGAAGCCATTTTCGCTGTCCTTTATGCAGCTCATGAGAAGGAAGCTGAAAGTCTCGGCTGTGAGAACATGGCCCTTGTGCACAATTTCCTAAAAGAGCAGAGAGAACATTAAACTTCCCAGTTACCCAAACAGCCTGTCCCAGCTGGCTGTGAAGCTCAAATACCGCTGTTGTCTTCTGGGCATACAGCAGCAACAATGCAGAGGGTGAGCTCCCAGTGCTGCGAGCAGAACGATCGCTCCAAGAGAAAAAGAGCCCTGGAATGCCTGCACACAGATCCTAGCTTCTCCCTGATGGGAGTTACAGGGAATTTGAGGGCAGGAACAGCAATCCTTTTAGCTACTCCCAGACTGGCCCTTCTGAGAAAAGCTGCTGTAAGAGCTTTAAAAGGAACTAGGTATCAGTTTATGCGTCTTCAAAATGAGGGATGGAGGCAGACACAGTAGCTGCGAACCCCACAAAACACAACTGACTGGAGTTTAAAGCCAACCTCTGTTTAAGGCTGGTTTTTTGCCTCTTTTTATGGACTTAATGTTTGGTATGTACCAAGATGATTTTATTGTATGAGACCAAGGATCAGCGAAATATAAACACGTGATCTGTAATCACCTCTGCTGGAAATGAAATAAAAAAGTCTGTGCAGTATGGCAACTTCCAGGAGTTTTAACAGAGCAGACTACACTTAATACGAGAAAAGTCACATCTTTACCTTCAGCACATCAAAGCACATCCTGAGATCTGAGCACAGGGCACAGACCTTCAGCAGCGCGTGGTAGGTGATCAGGTTCAGCTCTTCATTTTTGCTCTTCAACTGCTGCCGTAATTTGAGAGCACTTTGCAGGCCTGAGTCTTTCCACGGCGATTCGGCACAGGCGTTGAACAGGGCGGTGTAAGTGGCTTCGGTGGGAGTTAAGCCTCGTTTTTTCATCTGAGGGAAGAGGAGAAGAATTGGAACTGGCTTTTTAGGAAAGGACTTCCAGAATTTCGTAACTTGTTTTTAAGAGTTTCAGACTAAGAAGATGCAAACACTCAAAGGCATTTTGGAGACAAAGTAACATGACCAAATTCTTGGAACAGTTTTAGCTTAGAAAACCTGATGAAGGTTTGAGAGAGAACATAAACCTACATCATTGTAGAGCCTGAACGCCTTCTTCACGTAGCCAACCCTGCCACAGCCGCCAATTAGAACAGTGTAATTGCTTTCTTCTGTCCGCACACGCCCTTCCTTCAGCATCTGCCCCTCAAACAGCTCCAGAGCCTCCGCCAGCTATAGGGAAGAGGAAAATCCCTGATGAGGCAGCAACAGAATCAATTACAATGGATATTAATATATGCAGCTGTGGGCAGGTTGTGATAGAAGTCCTACAGAGCATGAGATTCCTCACAAATCCTTATTTTACTTCATTCTGTAAAGATACTAAGACGATACAGATGGGACAGAGTTGCAGAGTTCCATCTTTCATCAACGCTATTAAAAATCAAATAAGTGAAGAGCTGGGAACAAACCTTATCGTCCTTGATGAGGGCCTTGCATTTTAAGAAGTACCAGTATGGGGTGTTCTTAGGGCCGCGTCGAGGTTTTCTTTCCCATTCTTCCTCTCCCTCTTCTTGAAGCTTTAAATCCTGAAAGCGTGATGTGGTTTTGTGGTAATATTTTCTAGAAGAAAATTTATCAGACAGCGTCCCAAACTCCACGCCTTCATCCTCATCCTCATC